ATTCCAGCTCGCAGGACTGGCCTAGGGTAATTTTTAGAGGGGTTTTAATCAATATTTTAAATTGGACAATCTTTAATATTTCTTTTAATTAATTTTAAACCTGTATTGTTATTTATGTATTTTAATTGATTGTCAGCCGCCCTGAGTCCTACGAGGAGAAGGGCGGGATATAAATCTAAATAATAATAATAATAAAAAAAAAAGATCTCGGACTGTATTTTGGCTTCCCTTTTGAAACTGCTCAGGCAAGTGTGTATTCACACAGACATGTTAGGTTTATTATGTATGTGTCATTCCTTGTTATCTCCGTGGCCTTGAGTAAATTCCTCTCCTAATCAGACTGTATGTGAAACTACTTGCAACCAGAGGTGACTGAAGGTGTTTGTGTCTTCCTTTGTTTGGAGGCTTGCCAGAAACATGGGAGCATTTGGGGAAAATTTGGAGCAATTAAAAGATGGTTTGAATTGCTAGCTGACTGCATTGCCTCTGTGCTGTGCCCTGGGTCATCACAGTGGATCTATGGTATGTACTCTATGCTCTTTTGTTCCAAGTAGAGTTTCCTGTTTCCTGTTAGGTTAAAACAGTTGAGCAGTAAAGTACATGGTGACTGTACTCTATGTTTGCACTGTGGTGCTATATATAAACAGAATTTCCCTGTTGTTGTTTCCAGGGCTTCACACCTGGCAGAAAATGTATGGCTGTGAGCTCAGGGAAGATGGGAGCAAAGGAGGGTATGACCAATACAGCTATGATGGAAGGGACTTCCTCAGCTTTGACAAGGAGACCCTCACTTGGACGGCAACCGATCATGAGGCACAGCTGATCAAGAGGGCCTGGGAGGCCGACCTGGACAGACTCCAGCGAAACAAGCTTTTCCTGGAGGAGATCTGCATTGGACTGCTGCAGAAGTTCCTGGAATATGGGAAAGAAGCATTTGCAAGAAAAGGTGAGGTTGAAAACAAGCAGAAGGGAAATTTGATGGGTTCCCTTTTGCCAGAGAAAAACAGACATTTGAAAATTATATAATCAAGGACTACCTGTCTATAAAAGGAACAATTAAAAATATTAAAAAGTCAACATTTAATGTGACAGGCTATTAAAATTAAAAATATACAAACCTCAGGCAGAGAGAGTGAGTATATTCATCTCAATAGTGAAGAAACTAAACAAGTCTTCAGTTCCTTGGGATTCCCAGGCCTGATGACATAACCAGGTTTTGAGGGATTTCTGAAACCTCAAAAGGGACATAGTTAACCTATTATTTGGGGGGGGGGAGAAAATGTTTGATAGGTGGGCACCATGGCAGAAAAGGGCTGTTGCCTGGGACCTGAATAACAGAACAACAGAGTTGGAAGGGACCTTGGAGGTCATCTAGTGCAACCCCCTGCTCAGGCAACAAACCCTATATACCAGTGATGGCGAACCTTTTAGAGACCAAGTGCCCAAACTGCAACCCAAAACCCACTTATGTATCATTGGATGCTGGGTGGGCGTGGCCCATTGGGTGGGTGTGGCTGCGGTGGTAACGGCAGACTGGGTGGGACTAAAAAGTTCAATCAATCAATTCCAACTTTGTGAGATTTTTTTTCCCCACGAGAAGTTGAAATTGGTTGATTGATTGAACCTTTTTTTTTTTGCACACGGTGGTGGAGGCCTAAAGCAAAAAGATTTTATAAAACCCAGCTGAAGGCCTAGGACTGGGGCAACGGTGCACATGCCCACAGAGAGGGCTCTGCGTACCACCTGTGGCACGCGTGCCATAGATTCATCACCACAGCTATATACCATTTCAGCCAAGTGATTGTCCAATCTCTTCCTAAAAACCTCCAGTGTTGGAGCACCCACAACTTCTTTTTTTTAAAAAAAAAATTTTTTTATTATTTTTCATTTAAAAAACAGAAACATAAATCTTTTATCACAATATCAACCAAAGAGAATAAAACTAAACAAAACATTCACGGACGTGTCCGGTGTCCCCCTCCCGCACCACCCTCTTCCACTTACACACTCCTTCCTCCTCCCTGTTCTACCACCACTCCTCCTTCCTCCCTCTTCCCTACTTCCCTTCCTCACTCAACCATCCCGTCTTGTGCAGTTGGGGTATCACCGGGCACCTCCTTAAAAAATCATACATATAAATCTATAATATAAACCTACCCTTTTCCCCCCTCCCCCCCCAGGACTTCCCAAAGCTAATCTAGGAAATAAACACACAATAATCCAAATCTATTCAAAACTACTCATTATTACTACACACTAGTATAAACTTGCTATGACTCTAAAATAACATTAAAATACATACAAATTTTTTTAAATATATCAATATTTAATATACATATTTTTGTTCANTTCTCTGAATATAATCTATCCATCTTCTCCACATTGAGATAAATTTTTCCTGAGAATGATCCTTCAGGTACGCGGATATTTTTGCCATCTCTGCAAAATATGATACTTTCTGTCTCCAATCATCCATAGTTGGTAACATCTTTTTTTTCCAATTTTGAGCGACTAAGGTCCTTGCTGCTGTTATACAATACAACATCAGTTTCATTTCTTTTTGGTCCAAATTGTCCATAATACCCAATAAAAATAACTGCGGTGTAAATTTTATCTTTTTCTTAAATATCTGTTGAATATTCCACCAAATCTTAATCCAAAAGGCTTTAACATCCCTACATGTCCACCAAAGAGCACCCACAACTTCTGAAGGCAAGCAGTTCCACTGACCCATCAATTGTAGGTCCCTGACAGATAGCAATAGTACTTAAGACTTATATATTTCTTCATAGTGCTTCATAGCCCTCTCTAAGCAGTTTACAGAGTCAGTATATTGAACCCAACAATCTGGGTCCCTCATTTTACCGACCTCAGAAGGATGGAAGGCTGAGTCGACCTGGAGCCAGTCAGGATCGAACTCTTGGCAGTTGGCAGAATTAGCCTGCAATACTGCATTCTAACCACCGCGTCACCCCACCATGGTATCGGCAGCATCCCTTCTCTTCTGGATCTAATGGGACAGGCTAACGTAAAAGGAGAGAGCCAGTTCCTCAAACAATTGCCCAGAATCCTTTCCAGTCCAGCTTCCCACTTGTGTGTTGCCACAGAGGGACTGCTGAGCGGAACTTCTCTTCATTTCATCTCTTTGCAGAGCTCACAACAGTGAAAGTCACCCACTCAATGGATCCCTCTGGGTTGCTGGAGACGCTGGTCTGCCAAGCCTTTGGCTTTTACCCCAAGGAGATCAACGCCACATGGAGAAGGGATGGGGTCATCTGGGAGGAGGAAACCTTTCAGAAGAGCATTGCTCCCAATTCCGATGGGACTTATCATGCCTGGCTCAGCATCCGGATCAATCCCAAGGAGAGGGACCGCTATCGGTGCCACGTGGAGCACGGCAGCCTTGCAGAGCCCCTGGTTGTGGGCTGGGAGGAGAAGACAGGTGAGAGGCAGAAGTAGAGAGGAGCTACTGGCCTTAGAGAAAAGGTGGCCAGGTCTGGATAGTGACTCTTGTCCCAGGGAATAAACAGTGGCAAACTCGAGGGACGACTCAACAATCTGGATTAGAAGATCCTAGTGCAGTGGTTCTCAACCTGTGGGTCGGGACCCCATTTGGGGTCGATCGACCATTTCACGGGGGTCGCCAAGCAAGGCTGTCCGCCATTTTTTTTGTCCGCCATTTTTTTGTTTGCCATTTTTTTCCCCTTTTCCGGTGGGTGCCTTACCTCCTTTGGGCTGGGCCAGCTGGTGGTCGGCCTGCTCCATCTCTGCCGCTTGCCAGCTACGCCTCGGCCGGCGCAGGGGGCGGAACCACGCATGTGCGGCGCTCCCGGGCAGGGAAAGTCCTCGACTTATGACCGGTTGGGTAGTCCTTGACTTACGACCGGTTTAGTCCTCGACTTACGACCGGTTTAGTCCTCGACTTACGACCGGTTTAGTCCTCGACTTACGACCGGTTTAGTCCTCGACTTACGACCGGTTGGGGTCGCGGCATTAAAAAGGTTGAGAACCACTGTCCTAGTGGAAGTTTTTGTGTGTTTGCTGCTGCAATGCAGGAAATACACCTGCATGGGGAGGGGGCAGAGTTTAGTTAACTCCTAACTACATTAATTGGTAAAGCCTACATCAAGTCAAACTTGACTTGACTCTTGTTGATTTCCTGGACTCCTCCAGGTAAATGTGGAAGGGAAGGAGAAATTTCCCATTGCCTTACAGGGTTTTTGTTTAACCTCCCTGTGAAATATACAGCCCTGGGATTTCCTAGTGGCCTCCCCTCCAAGTAATAATCAGACCCAAGCTTGGGCAAGTACTTGTTACTTTCAGGACAGATGTAGTTTGAGGTTTTTTCTCATCTCTGGCCTTGAGAACTCTTAGAATTCTCCAGCTCCAATCTTGATCAGGTTTCTGGAGATTAATCCAGATTATTTGGGGAATGTGAGCTACATTCCAGGGAGCAAAGGATAGGAAGGCTTTGTCAAGGCTGCTAACATTGGATGTTCTTCCTTTGACAATATATGAAGATGCAGCCATTTTCCCTTTAACCTGTGTATTACTTTTAGAGTTAGAATTAGATGGTGCTGGGGAGGAAGAATGTGTATGGGGATTAGTTAGACATAACAATATCGCAGTAGAGTATTCTTCAAGTTGTTTGAAATAAGAGAAGATAAGAAATGGCAGGTTATGACACTGGAGGGAAGGTTTGCACTTCAAACTAATTGGAGAATGTGATTTATGACTGTTAATTGGAGGAGGGAATTGTGCTTCGATACTATGTGTTTAGGGGAGGAGAATTCAGATTTTGGCTTCGACCATGTACGTACCTATGCCATGTTATTTTGAATAAAGATTCTTTAAGGTAAACAATGCCTCAAAGTTCTTTGAAGTGTAACATGTCAGAACCATGACAGCCTTTATTTAACAGGAAGCTCTGAGCCTGCTACTCTCTTTTCCCCTTGCAGTCCCTTTCGCTGTGGGTGCCATCCTGGGAGGAGTTCTGGCTGCTTTCCTGCTGGCATTGGTTGGACTCATCGTGTGCATCAGTAAGTCTGATTTGCTTCGGGAAGAGAGGACAAGTAGTCCTCAGCTTACAACCATTCGTTTAGTGACCATTTAGAGTTAACAACAGCACTGAAAAAAGTGACCTATGGCCATTTTTCACACTAATGACTATTGCAGCATCCCCATGGTCGTGTGATCAAAATTCAGACACTTGGCAACTGGCATGTATTGATGACGGTTGCAATTTCCTGGAATCATATGATGTTAATGTTAATGTTAATTTAATTTGTATACCGCCCTTCTCCCATAGGACTCAGGGCGGTATGATCACCTTTTACGACCTTTTGACAAGCAAAGTCAATGGGGAAGCCAGATTCACTTAACTACGGTGTTACAACTGCAGTGTTTCACTTAATAGCCGTGGCAAGAAAAGTTGTAAAATGAGACAAAAATCACTGAACAGCTGAACAAATTCTCACTGATTTGATTAAGCAATGAGTCAGGTCAGTGACCGTTTTCAGATAACACAAACAAAATCAAATCAATCCATCAATTTCTTTGTCCCAATCTCAGGAGTGCAGAAGAAGAAAAGGAAAACTTCTCAAACATCGGAAGATAAATCCTCGGAACAGGAGTCAGACAAATTGATGACCCTCACTCCTAGCCACAATACAGTCACAATACAGAAGTTTACAGCATGACTTGTTCAACTACCCTCCAAGCCCTCCTCCAGACTTGGGGAATTTGGGAAGCTGCTCTTCCAATGCAAGATCTCATTTGTTTCTCTTTCAATGATGTAGGACAGGTAAAAGAATCTGTTTCTTGTGAAGCTAAAAAGGAATGGTTTACTTTTGTGGAAAATAATCCTATTTATCTGCTGTGGAAGTATCTGGAAATTATTTTTATTCAGACAACAATGAAGCAAAAATAATGTAGAGGGTCTGGAGGGGTATAAAAGCCCCATTTAAACAATGCCACTCTAAAGATGTTCTAGGAAATAGCAAGTGTTCAGTGTTCACTGATTCCCTTTAGAAACACCAATGTCTATTCTTCTGGCTTCCTTCTCACCCATAGCAGGAAGCCAAGAAACAGCTTGTCCAAATAATTAAGTTTTTACCATTTAAAATTGGCTGACTGACCTTTAAGGAAAGTCTCCTTTGAGTTGAGCTCAACTCCTAGAGTGACACATGCTGGCTGAGGAATTCTGGGAGTTGAAGTCCACACTTCTGGAATGTGGCCAAAGGCTATCTTATAGTGCTAATGTACATTTTTGGCAGCAATACTGACATATTGTGCCTTGGTCATCTTCTGGGTGTCTTTTTTTCCAGCAGCCTGAGATTTCCTAGTGGCCTCCTATCCAGTACTGGTTCGCCTTTCAAATCAGTCAAAAACAGCTGGGAAATCCTGGCTGTTACTCAGGTTCTTTCAAGGATTCCTTTATTTACAGTTCTGATTAATATTTATTCTGCAAGGAGTAGAAAATTGCCCATGTATCCTGGACATCTACGGAAAACAATCTGAAAGCATGAAGAAGTACAGAGTGTAATAAATTATAGGGAGGGACGGGAGAGAGAAAGAGAGAGAGAGACTTCTGAAAATGAAGGACTCTTCAAGGTAAAACTACCAAGTTATAAAATAGGACAGAATTAATTAGGGTAAAATGTCTTTAAGTCAAATCAAATTTCTCTGTGCAATTTCCTGATTTTATTTATATCTTTAGGGTTCTTTACTAAAAAGTTCTGTTACATTTGAAATTTGGGCATATTCATTAGGAAACCAATCGGGTTGATCTTTAGGTCATTTTTACTCTGATGATATTTTTAAGTTTGATTTTGCCCGGTTGGTTGGTTCTAGCTTGCAAGAGCAGCTAGAAAAACATTTAGACAAAAGATCAGGCAAAGGTCATATGAATATTTGCTCTGAAATTAGGTGTGAGTTTAATGAGATGGCTGGTATTTCTGAATTTGTATTTATAGCTTCCTGAAGGTTTGTAATGTGTAATGAATATGTGTATTTTATTTAAATTGTTATATTTTTGTAAAAGGTGGTGTTCTTGGAAATGATCATTAGTAGAAAATACAACAGCATCCTTAAAGTAAGATTTCAGATCTTATTAAGGTGACTTGTGCCGTGATTTTGATTAAAAATTCACAGATGGAGCCTTATTTTTATTGATTCGTAATTAAGTAATAATTAATGCACTCTCTTGAGTTGTACAAATAAAGGTGAGTTATAAATCAAGCAGACAAATAAATAAGGTGTACTAGCAGTATTTCTGACTGAGATGGAGAGGGAAATATTTTATATGATAATTCAAAACTGTTATATTTTCAATGTTGCCATGTATGGGCTTATGAGCCGTTTGTGTGCAAATTATTACTGCCTCTTGACTCTAGTAGTTCTTCTACACCCCTGGGGATTGAGTCATGAAAACTTGTCCCATTACTTTTCTTTTTAAGCACCTTTGTGTCAGTATCGGCTTCTTGTGATTGCCTGAACTAGTTTGTACGATTGATATTGTCAACTGTCCAGTTGGTATTTCCAGAAAAAGAAATTCCTGGGACATGATTTTACCAAGAGTATACTACTTTACTGAAAATTTACATTGGCACAGAAGAAGCGAAACCAGCTTCTTCTCCAATTAACCAGTGGAACAACCTGCCTCCAGAAGCGGTGAATGCTCCAAAGCTGGACGTTTTTAAGAAGAGACTGGACAACCATTTGTCTGAACAAGGGGTTGGACTAGATGACATCCAAGGTCCCTTCCAACTTTATTATTATTTATTATTATTTAAGAGTTAATGCTTTGTATTCAAAAAAAATTCAAAATTGAATGAAACAATAGTTATAAGCAATTTACAATTCACAGACATATCAGATTTCAAAAATTTAATCTGTAGTATTAAATAGAATACAGGCAATATTCACGAACGTGTTTGCTATGAGCGAGTCCCGACTCGATGGCATCTGAGCAAATGCAAAGCAAGGATTTAACCGTATAAACATCACAGTCACAAATTAAATATCTGCTACAATAAAAATGCCCTTGCCAGGAAACTCAAAAATTGTGAGACATAACGCATAAGACATAATGCTGAGGTAAGTCACATGGTGCAGAACACCAGCCCTTGAAAAGCTGCAAGTGAAATGTTATTTATTCATCGTATATAAACATAGCTGCCCATCTCATAGGCAAAGTGGCTCTGGGTGGTGTACAAAAAAGCTAAAATCAATATATACAAATAATAGTAGTAGTAGTTTTAAATCATAAAAGACACGTCGTCAGGGCCCACTTCAAGACTTCATCCTAAGAAAGCAGAACTCGTGGAAGCAGTTTCTTCCAAAAGGAACTTTTATTAGGAGAAGCTGACAGCAAGCATAATAGACAGGATCTGAGGGTTTCCTGTTCAGATCAATAGGTTAAAAGTGTCCCAAGCAAAACCCCACCCAAAAGTTCATCCGGTCAGTTCAAATGAGCCAATCCCCAGGTGTTAAGTCCATTGTGGGAAAGAGTAGGTAACTCCGGGCTGCCTCAGGGTTGCAGCGATGTTTTGTCGACTCTTCACACCTTCCCTTCCAAACGCGGAGATAAACCAGTTGCTGGAGGCGCATTCCTTTCTCCTCCCCCCCCTTACTAGCTGACATCAAGGGGAAAGATAGTTCATAGAGGAAGTATGCAGAAACAGAGAAGTGTTACAGTGTAGCGATAGAGGAAAACAGCAATAACCCAGTGTTTCCCCCCCACACCCCTCCAGGAGCATGGCAGAACCCAGAAGTATAGAGAGAATAGAGTTTGAGTTAAAGATAGAAAAGAGTCTCCTTAGAATATGGGTTCTGACACACGTCATGATTTATTTGTCCTGTTTATATGGCTGTGCATCTGTTCATGGGCCACCTAAGTTACCGGACCAACTTTCCGAGATGCACTGCTTTAGAGGTAGTCCTCGTTTAACAACCCCAACTTGGACCAGAATTTCAGTTGCTGGGCGATGCCATCATGAAGCAAAAGATCACGTGACTGCACTGTTTAGCAACATCAGTTTCAAGTAAACCCAATTGTAATCATTAGGTCCTTGTTAGCCAAGGGCCTCATGTGTTTCTTGCTCTGCCCTGCTCGCCTTCAGTTCAATTCCCCTCCTACCCTATCTATCTCCCTCCCATCTCTACCCTTTGGGCTGCCTGCACTCCCATGGCCCTGTGTGCTGCTACCCGCTGCTGGCATTTGCTAACTTTTTCCTCCTGTTACCGAGGGGAGGCCTGGGGCCTAACCAGTGGTGGGATTCAAATATGTGAACCACCAGTTCTCCATGTGGATGCCGCTTCTGGAAGTCCATTCTGGGCCTGGGCAACAAAAAATTAGCTACTGGTTCTGCCGAACTGGTGCAAACTGGCTGAATCCCATCACTGGACCTAACCCTTCCCAAAATATCTCAAAGATGCTTTTTTCAAGAGGCAACTGGACTTTCTGGTTTTTCTTTGAAGATGTTTCGCTTCTCGTCCAAGAAGCTTCTTCAGCCTCTTGAAGAAAAAAAAAGCACCTTTGGGACAACCATGACCTGGATAGCTGAGAATCTCCATAAACCTTCCAAAAATAGGTCTGGCCTCCACACACACACACACACACAGATACAAACACACACAGTGACGGGCATGTGTTTGTGTTGTCTCTGCAGGCTATCTGTCTCCCCATTGCAAAGAGCTGATCTTTTTTGTCTGAAATAAGGGAATGTCCGGGTCCCTCCGCATATTTTTTTTCCCTGCTACAATAGCAACCATTGGAGAAAATGCTAATGACGTTTCCTTTAATTAAATGGACTCAAAGTTCCATAATTTCGATCTTTCTCGTGGCTTAGTGGCCCAAATTCTGGTCCCAACTGTGATTGTAAGTCAAAGACTACCTGTAATTCATCACTGATTCAAGAACATCGTCAGAAGTGGTGGACTTTTCTTTTTCTTCTTCTTCTTCTTCTTTTTCTTCCTTTTTCTTTGTCCAATATCCTGAAAGTATAAAAGAAAAACACTCAAGATGTTCTTCCTCCCT